TTTGCAGCTTTCCGGGCGTAAGACTTTTATATTTGTGTTGTGGTTTCCTTGATTTTGTGTGTGTTATAGGCTCTTACATCTCTTCTGATAACTTTGTTCACATGTTAGATGACCTACCTTCTCTTTTCAATTAGTCTCTTGGTGTTAGGACTGAGTTTCGGGTTTCTGTGTTTCTGAAGCCAGGATACTATTTTAACAACTATTGGCACGCTGTTCGTGATTTTATTTGATAATTCGTTTAACTCCAAATTATGCAAATTTTCGGTTGGTTATAGTGTCCGTTCGAGTTGAGTATTGTGCTCTTGTTCTTTCTTCTTTCTCTCATAATTCTCCAATGCTGGGTCGACTTTTCTTCTCAATGGAGCGTTTTCTCCCAAGATGTGTGTTGACTTGGATCTGTACCCTTTCTAGTCTGTGATCGAAGCAGTTCTAATACTGACACATCTACGCATTGGCGTGTTGTTATTTGGGCTCCTCCATATCGATTTTCTTTGAAGTTGTTTTTTGAAGACGGTATTTGTAAAATATATTTTCTCTTTGCTAAGGAAGTCAATCATCATTTGTCCTCGTAGATTTCGTGTGCCGATACCGAAAGTGCCATTATAGGGCGGGTCTGTCAAAGTCCTTGGTAAACTGATAACTCCATTCTGTGAAATATAGTGAGATAGGAAGCCAAGATGTTTGAAAAAAGAACAGTGGAAAAAATGAAAAATTATAAAAGCACACCTCTTATTTTGATAAGTGTTAGACCTTGACTTCCTGATAAAAAGTTCTAATGGGCCTGAACCAATCCTATGATTAATTTTTGAGATACAGGTACCTACTTGAATGTCCAAAAAATGAACAGGGTGTTTTTTTATATATTGACACCGTACTTACAGCCTTTACCTTTACAGGTACATAAAAGGTGTAAATACAAAAGTTGTACAGTATTGGCTAAATTTTTAAAATCCATGGTCAAAAACAAAAATTGAATGTCAGAAATGTGAAATATTGCATGCTTTCAGCATTTTTCAAATGAGATGCGTTATATTTGAATCTATATTCTTGAAGAGCACAATTTCCCAATTCCAAAACTATATAGTTTGTCTATATTTGGTTGAGCGGTCTCCAACATATTTGGTCCTAATAATTTTAGAAATACTATCAGAGAAATCAAGTACCTCAAATTTTACCTGCAGCTTTCACCTATACAGGTACAAAATCAGTAGTAGGATAAGGATAGTATTTTTAAAATTTTTGGAGCCGAATATATGAGAGAATGCTCAATCAAATATAGATCGGGACATTGTACTCTTCAAGAATATAGAATGAAATATAGGGCATCCCATTTGAAAAAAGCTGAAAGCATGCAAAATTTCACATTTCTGACATTCAAATTTTATTTCTGATCATGGTTTCTAAAAATTCAGCCAAAACTGTACAACTTTTGTATTTAGGTACACCTTTCTTCTACCTGTAAAGGTAAAGGCTGTAGGTGGGGTGTCAATATATAAAAAAACACCCTGTACAAATAAGTGGATTATTACGGAACTTATGGGTGGGCCTCTGCGGGACGAGCGCAGCGAGTTCCGCAGCCATCTTTTTATCAATGTTATTTAATTACGATACTAACCTGACTCACTCAAATGTGAGTTATTCTCAATAGTTTAAAAACTACACGTTTCAGGTGAATGTCTTACTAAAACAGTTCAACAGTATATTGGTGAGTAGATGACTATACTGGCAAAACTAACCTGATTCACTCAGTTGTGAATTTTTCTCATTAGTTCAAAAACTACACGTTTCAGGTGAGTGTCTTATATGAACAGATCAACAGTTTATTGGTGGATAGATGGCTGAGGTTTACCCATAAGTTCCGCAACAATTCACTCATTTGTACTTAAATAACTTGTCATATTATGTTACTGGTTTAGTAAAGTAACATTACTAATTCCTGTTAAAAGGCAAATTGACAAAAAGTGGATAATCTTATAAATTCTGACTTTATATACCTAATAAGTTATTATTCAAGTACAGATAAGACACTGGATTATTGCGAAACTTATGGGTGGACCTCTGCTGGGTCCTTATTCTTGAAACAGGGGAGCATTGTTCCCAGGAGAACCAGTGTTCCGTCATTGTTACATATATTATCATTTCCATATCATTGAGAAAGACAGAACTCGTTCTCCTGGGAACAGTGCGCCCCTGTTTCAAGAATAAGGACACGCGGGACGAGCGCAGCGAGTTCCGCAGCTATCTTCTCGCCAATATACTGTTGAACTATTCAAATAAGACACTCACCTGAAACGTGTAGTTTTTGAACTAATGAGAATAACTGACATTTGAGTGAGTCAGGTTAGTATCGTAATTAAACAACATATTGACAAATAGATGGCTGCGGAACTCGCTGCGCTCGTCCCGCAGAGGTCCACCCATAAGTTTCGCAACAATTCACTCATTTGTACTTGAATAACTTGTCATATGCTACTAGTTTAGTAAAGTAACATTACTAATTCCTGTTAAAAGGCAAATTGACAAGAAGTGGATAATCTTACAAATTCTGACTTTATGTAATAAGTTATTGTTCAAGTACAAATAAGTGGATTATTGCGAAACTGGGTCCTTATTCTTGAAACAGGGGAGCATTGTTCCCAGGAGAACCAGTGTTCCGTCATTGTTGTCCGCAAACGTCTCTTTAAGAAAATACAGAGTGTTGAAATTTTCGGAAAATTTTGACTTTTAGTGCGATTTTGTTCAAATTTTCAGAGTGTTTGCGATGTTCTCAAACATCTTTCTAAAAAATCCTTTAGAGTTCCACGTTTCCAGGACTGGATCTAGAGCGACTCTTATTTTTTTAACAGAGTGGAGTGTATCGAACAACGAGATTTTCCAAACAATACATTGATATTTATTTTTCATCTCTTAAACGTCGCATCAAACAAGAAAAACTCGAGATACCTTTTTTGTTGAAAATTAAATAAGGAATCAAAAAATAATTTTTAATATGCCAAAAAACCCAGGGGCGTACCAATTTTTTCCTTTAAAAAAAGTCGCTCTAGGTGAAAATTTGAACCGCTCAAGCCATTTTAAATGTTAAGGTAAAAAGTCAGCATTTTCTGAAAATTTCAACACTGTATTTTTCTAACTAGCTGTTTGTCCCACTATCATAACAAAATGCGCACTTATTTCGGACTCACCCTGTATAAATATTGGAGTTTATAAAATCATTAGTATTTAATTTGAATTAATTTTTTTCGTCCTTTGGAAAAAAAAGTACCTATTATCAGTGGGGTCTGCTTTGGCCGCCCCTATTTTTGGCCGCCCGTGTGCACTTTGCACTTTGCACACATGGTAGCGGCGGCCCTGATCATAACGTCCGCAAAAGCGGGAGTTATGGATAAGGTTGTTATAGGTATGTTAACGTATTTCGTTTCCTAGGTATTATGGATGTATAATAGTTAAGTAGAAAATAATAGTTATTTATGTATCAAGGGTACTAAGTAGATGATTATGCCCTGAGGGCGACAGCCAGAGGCCCTCGGCTTTGTAAGTCGCCCGAGGGTATATATATCTATAAGTACCCGTGGTGCATACAAATTTTTATGTCATACCAGTTGGTTGTGAATAGTAAATACCTGGGAAAAAAGTGTCACTTCCCAAATTGTCATCAGTGTGCAAACATCATCATTTTTTGACAAAAATAATATGTTTATAAGCGTAAATTTATATTTTGTTGATAAAGAATAAGTTAATTGAAAACTGTTTTTTGCGTCTTTATGCCCGCGCGGGCCATAATGTGTACTTTATGCCCGCACGGGCATAAAGTAATGAATTATGTAGATGGTATCTAAGGTATAAAAACACAATAATGTATTGGTATGACATAAAAACTATTATGTTCACCACAGATTTATCAATCTCACACGATATTGACATTACCTGTGTGTCAATGAAGTAAAATTCTGACACATTACGGGGGATGTTTATATAGTGTGTGCCAATTGCAATGATTCTTACTGTATACATTTCTTGGAAATTTAACTACCTGCATCTCAAAAACTATTCATATAGAATTGGCTCGGGCCCATGAGAACTTTTTATCAGGAAGTCAAGGTCTAACACATAGGTATCAAAATTTCATTGAATTTGAAAGAAAACCAAATACCTATAAGAGGTGTGCGGTGTCCTTCCCTTTTCTTTCCTTAGCGGGATTGTATCTCTGGAACTACGAATACAAATTTTCAAACTTTGTAGTCCTTGAGAATCAGATCAAATGATCATTTGGGATCGCCCAAACCTGAACACAAAAGACACAAACAAAGAGAAGTAGATAAATCGAATAACATAGCATTCATGGACGAATCAACACTATCAAAGGAAAACAGCAATAATGAAAACTTCATAACTTGGCACTTAAATTACAGGAATATCGGGTCAATCAGGCACGTATAATTTCCGGAATTTAAGTTCAATTTAAATTTAGCGATTCAACCCCATATTTGATAACGATCACTACGATCAGTGATCCAGTCGTAATAAGAAACGAAACATCATATCTCTAGGTTTACAATAATAATCTTTTCATTTCATCCAAAAATAACTACTAAAATTATCGATATATCCTGCAATTTATGGACATTAGAACGATATTAGGAGAAAGTCCCAGTAGCAGCTTTCAGCACTAGGCAAAAATAATTAGGTACTTTCTTATTTATGCTAGTGCGACAAAGTACAAGTTTTCAAGCCGCAAAACAAGGAAAATAAGTTATTCAAAGACCGTGACAGGAAAAACATATTATAACATCCATAAATTAAAACATGTTCAATCGAATTTCAATCCACACAAAATACAAAACATCCAGCGGGGCACTCTCTGTATAGAAACTCGTAACAAATCTAAGTTTAGCGGTTGCCTAACAAAGACAAGAATACACTATTCACCGGTAAGTTAAATAAAGACGAAACGCATACAAAACCGCGTGGGGGATTTGGCGACCCATCTGACAACATGGCGTTTACAGTTCAACATAATCGCCTTGCCGGGTAGTCGCGAGCTTTTTCTTTTTAACCATTTTCGATACGCTTACGTCGGTGGTTAAAGTTGTTTTTCGAACTTTTCTTTGCCGACGCGTTTTCGGCTTTTTTTTTCGGTCATGGGTGGTTCAGTGCGCAGATTTTATCATGGAGTGGGGTGGTAGAAAAAATTGAGTCGTGGGGGGTTTAAATTTTTCCGGGGAGAGAGGGATGTATTGAAGTAACTTAAAATTTTACTTTCGAAAAAAAAAAATCATTGAAGTGAAATTTTTTGAAGAACCAAAAGGCACATATGAAGGGTAAATAAAGCACAGTTTTAAAAAAATTTAGTTTAAAGGTTGTTTGTTCATAATAATGGAATATGAAACAAATCAAGTTCAAGGAAAAAATCTTGTAGATTGTGTAAAATAAATAACACTACATACTATTATTTATTTATTTAGGTATTAGCAATATTTACATTTTTCCGTTGATTCTTTTCGCTTCTATCAACTCAATTTTGAATTCATTAGTATATTTCTAGTATAAAAATCATCCTTTAGGGAGAAAATAGCCATTTACGTACCAAGTGAGGAAAATAATTATGCTTTTCCTCCCGCGATTAACTCTTCCTACAAAATCAAACAGACGAGGTGAAACTTGAAAACTTTCGTTTTGCTACAACTTTTCCACCTAACGTTTCTATTAGAAGCGTCAAATAAATCTACCCCCTGGCTGCATTCATAATCATAGAATGCACGTCTTTGACCTTCTTGATTGGAAATGGCACTAAAACTTATTCAACAATTAACTAAATTTCAAAATGATCATTAAAGTACAATTAAACTCGTCAAATTTATTTATTCTTATCAATTTCATCTATAAGTTTACATGCGTGTAACTTTTTTTAATTTGATTGCAGCACATAAAACGGTTTTATTGTTGTTGAGATTTACGTTGGGGTCAAAACGTTTTATTTAATGCTCCTCCGCTTCATTTTTAATGGCTGGTTTATACAACATTTGCATAGTCGTAATCATAATCATAGTCTTAGGCTTAGTCTTAATCATAATCACAATTTTAGAAGGCGTTTATACAATGTCATAAGCATAAAATAAATTCAACTCTAACCCGACTTTTTGTAGGAAGAATTTGTTTACTTTTTGCGAATCGAACTCGTCTATTCACTTTTAATACTTTTTGAAAGTTTCAAAAAGTGTGGAAATTAAAATTCTGCGAAAGAAAACCATACAAGTGATAGGTCTGTCCTATTTATTTTTGAGTTTTGCTAATAAACACTTCAACAAACGCAAACCATAAACAAAGAAGGTGGAAAGTGAGTCCCATCAATGAAAAAAGGCAGAAGGAAGGGCATTTTGTCACATTATTCAAAGACATGTAGAAGCTCGATGGAGACCCTTTTTTTTTAAATACTCTAGAATGACTCAAGATCAATTTAAATACAAACAGAACTAAAATAGCAGATTTGAATTGTTTTTCTCCGTATCAGCTGATAATGGCGCTTGCGCAGTTTGGATCTCGTCTTAGTCATAATCATAAAGTTAAAAGTTGCCAACTTTGAGTTATGCTTATGCTTATGCTTATGATTATGATTTGTGTATAAACGGTCCATAAGAAAATATTATTTTAACTCTTATGACTAAGACTATGATTATGATTACGACTATGCAAATGTTGTATAAACCAGCCATAATTTCCTTTTTACTGTTAAACTATTCAAAGATACAGTCAAAAGCCATTTTTTTTATAAGGATTATGTACGCTTATTTTTTGGAAAGGTCATGGCCTAGGTAACGTGATGAAAGTCGGAGATATGATACTTACGATTTATCTACGGCAAAAAAAGTCGCATATAGTTTAATTACAATGTCATTCATTTATGGAAATAAATTCACTAAAAACACATCCATACAGGATATGGCCACTTCATAAACCTTGCACATGTGAGCCCTGATTGACTTCCACTCCTAGAAAAGGAATCATCTCTTTCCCAACCCTCTACCTCTAGAATATACTGTAATCTGTATGCATTTAACAGTTTCTCCAAGAAAAGACCCAATAGAAAATGGTCTAAAATGGACCTGAATATCACCAGTATCTACTTTCTATGCAAAAGTATTGAATCTTCGGAGATATCCTGTTAATTAACAGATTCAATACAAACAGTGATTATAGATATCTGAGCTAAGGTCAAACTCGGGATTAAGTTTGAACGAAAAACATTGACAAAGAGGTGAAGAAGCTTGACTCCCATTTGCTGAAAGTACCTAGAGAAACATTTCGAAGCTTTCTGGAAAAAAAACTTGAAAAAAGAAGCACAAGTAAATAGTAAATTACATAAACACTGTCAATGATTTGGCGAACAACTCTTTTAGGAACGGGAAAGAGAAGGGCAGGGAAGAAAAATAGGAAGAGGGATAGGGCAATCGCTAGAACAAGGAAATTAATGAGACGAAAAAGAAGTCTTCTAAGCGATAAGAAAAGAAGTTCCATGGATTATAGAGGAATCAATAAAGTCAAGACTTGATAGGTACCAAAGAAAAAACCATGCGCAACGAAGAAGATAGAACAAAGGAAACACTAGAAGTTTTTTCCAGGCTATAATGCCGTGGTCGAGTATTATTTCTACCTAACGTTTCGTCTACTGCTGCGGTAGACATCTTCAGAGGCAGTGTGGTAGAGGACGAAGTGTTCTCTTCCGTGTTCTTCCAATAACTGGATTCGACGTTGATCGACCTGCGTTATTTGTATCCGGGGTTGTGGAAATGGCTTGTATTACGCTATTTTCCTTGTCTCGTTCTCAAAAAGGAAGGGTCTTTGTTTTTCAGAGAACTGTCAACCAGCTTTTGTTAAGGTTCATGGTTCATCCCCTCTTTTTTTCTGTTGAAGTTGTTGTGGTGTTTCTGTATCTCTATGGCTTCTCTGTGGAGTCTGATATACAAATGTTTGCTCCTATCTAATGCTTGAGTCTGGTCGAAACGAATGACATGGTTTGTTTGTGTTAACACGTATTCGGCGATTGCTGATCTATCTATTTGTCCCTGCTGACAGTTTCTTTCGTGCTCTTCGACCCTGGTGTTGATAGAGCGTTTGGTTGTTTCTACATAGACAGATCCACAAGAGCAGGGAATTCTGAGCCGTTTCAAGAGGTGCCCTAGTATCCTTGGCCAATCTTAGGCTTTGCTGAATTGTTCTTGTGGGCTTGTAGATGGGCTTAATGTTGTGTTTTTCTAGCGTTCGTCCTATGCGATCTGTGACATTTTTGATGTAGAGAAGAAAGACTCTCCCTGACACCTGTGCTGGTTCCTTATTATTTGTGCGGTGTTGCTTCGGTCTATTTATCTCCTGCTTGGAGTACCCATTTCTTTCAAGTGCTGATTTTAGGTGTTGCATCTCGTCCTGAAGGAGATTGCAGATTGCACTACATCAAAAATGTTACAGATCGCATAGAACGAACGCTAGAAAAACACATTAAGCCCATCTACAAGCCCACAAGAACAATTCAACAAAGTCTAGGATCCTAGAGCACCTCTTGAAACGGCTCAGAATTCCCTGCTCTTGTGGATCTGTCTATGTAGGAACAACCAAACGCTCTATCAACACCAGGGTCAAAGAGCACCGAAGAAACTGTCAGAAGGGACAAATGGATAGAGCAATCGCCGAACACTTGTGAACACAAACAAACCATGTCTTTCGTTTGGACCAGACTCAAGCATTAGATAGGAGCAAACATTTTTACATCAGACACCACAGAGAAGCCATAGAGATATAGAAACACCACAACAACTTCAACAGAAAAGAAGAGGGCATGAACCTTAACAAACCCTGGATAAAAATAACGCAGGTCAAACAACGTCGAATCCAGTCATCGGAAGAACACGGAAGAGAATATCTCGTCCTCTACCCTACCACACCGGCTCTCAAGATGTCTACCGCAGGAGTAGACGAAACGTTAGGTAAAAATGATACCTACACAACCACGGCATTATAGCCCGGAAAAAACTTTTTTACTAGATTTGGCCGGCCGGAAAGCCATCACTAAAAAATTGAAAACTTCGGTACCGAGATATTTCAGATATCAAAGAATTTGAGATGAACAAGGCAATCACCTATCTGAAAAATAATAAATCAACCCAAGGAGATTGAGTGATATCTGAAATGCTAAATGCAGGAAATCCAATCAACACCGAAGATAGACTATTTTACTTACGTCTCTAGAGAGTGCGGAAATACCAGAGAAATTGAATAATAACTACGTATTGCTGCTTCCCAAAGAGGTTGGAGATAACTACCGTCCCATCTCCTTAAAATCAAAAATATACAAGATGTTCTGGTTCATGAAGATCATTATTTACCGCTCATCTCCTAGAAGAGACAGCTACCAGCCTGTTGGCCAGACCTCCGCCATGGTTTTGGACGTTTTCCTCTCTATCTGGCTTTCATAGACTATGAGATGGCATTGAGATATGTGCCAGCTTATACATAAACTCCACATTGATGGTACAGCTGGAAGAGATCACCATATTCTCATTCCATTCAGGAAAGGAGTCAGACAGGACAGGGAGATGACCTGATATTACCTTAACTTTTCACGGTGGATGGATGATATTTTTAAGAAACTAGATTGGTCTAGAAATATAAATGGCAAACGATAAAAAAAATCTACGATTTACCGACGACATTGTACTAATGTTTAACAGTTTTGAAGACCTACGTTTGATGACTAGTTGGTATAAGCTTTGGAAATGGACCTGATAAGATGAATATGGAAAAAACAGAAGTGATTTCAAATAATGCCAAGGAAGAGTCACTATTGAAAGCCTCTCGTTGGAAAAAATCAGCAAATTCTTCCACTAAAACATGATTCAACAACCAAACATGGGCAGATTTTGGCAAGCTCTGATGAATCTTGAAGAACCAAAAGATTCCACTTCACCTGAGAAGCAGAGCTTTTAACCAATGTGGTTGTCGGATGTTTACAAAGAACAAAATTGACAAACCCTAAGATTCGAAAAATTCATTCAGTTACCCCGGAGCTTACCCCATTCGTTTGGAGAAAAAATAGCGTGTTGCATACGGAGTAGAAGCACTTTTTTGTGCTTCAGCAGTATTGCAAGCCTCACTACGTTCGGCTCGCAAACCTACTGCTTCAGCACAAAAAAGTGAAGCTTCTACTCCTAATACAACAATATACTATTTTCTTGAGCCCAAATGAGAAAACTTTGCTAAAGCTAAAAAGGTGGAAATGTGCTCAATTATTGCTGAATATATTTTTCACTTAAGTCTTTTTCGATCAAAT